TTGAGTCGTTAATTTTTTGGTTGGCTGATTGATGTGAACGCATTCGTTATTTGGAGGTCGAGCGATCGATGTTGAATGAAATTGTCTCGTTTCGTTTCGCTCTCCGTATCGTATCGCGATAAAACACTTGAGAAAGCCGCCAATTTTTGTGCAGTTCAACAAATTTTCGATTCATTCTCACAAATTTTGAACTTTGAATCAGTTTGTTTTTTTTTTCGCAATAAAATTGCATTGTTCAGATGTCCCACTGATATTGTCTCGTTTTAAGGAGGCGCAGAATCATCAGAGAATGGTCGTGATAAAGAGGCGAACAATGAGATCAAACATGAATCGAGCGAATCACCGAAGCCGATGCAAGTTGATAGTGGTGAACCTGAGGAGGACATCAAAAAATGTTAGTCGTAAATTGTTTTAGAATTCAATGCTTGTTGCGTAATGTATTGTGTGTGAATAACTGAAATTCACGCGGAAATTTTCAGCACCTGAAGAGAAGAAAAAAGAACCAGAGGCGGACGAGGACGATGACGAGAAAATTGAAGGTGGATATGGACTCGGCGGTTTACCGACTGGCTCGGAGAAGCTGACACCGAAGGAGCGTCATTTGTTAAGGTCATTTTATCGTATTTAATAATTTCAGAAATATCTTCTCATAATTAGATGATATATTGATTAGAGTGCATCGTCTCTGAAGTGGGAATGGCNTGATGGTGTATATTTGTCTGTGCAGAGGATGTTGTCATGACATTTTTTGTTAATTTGGCATGTGCTGGTAATGAACATGCGAATATGTGATCCGGATTAATGTTTTGTGTGCGGTTATGACAGTGAATATTAAGTTGATAGATGCATTGAAGTTCTTATGGAAACATCCTTGTTAATCTAATCATCATAAGTTTAGGTTGAATCTATTTGATATAGGAACATCATTTTCGTAAACGTATTAGGAACGTAGAGTCAGAGATAAGAAATTCTGTAGGATCGTGCGAATATTATCTATTGGCTATTCACTTATTTGCATTTTATGAGCGTGGTGTATTCGATATGATTGATGATGAGGGCATTTTTTTTGCTTTTAGACAGCACGAATTATTCTTATCGCGTCAAGTTGAGGCACTTCCGGCCACTCATATTCGTGGCAAATGTACAGTGACATTG